ACTTCTGTTAGTCTCAAAGGTGCCACAGGACCCTCTGTTGCTTTTTACAGATTCAGACTAACACGGCTACCCCTCTGATACTTATTTTTTCCTGTTACCTTTCCTCCCCGGTTGTTTTTTTCAGTGTTCCCATGTTAACTCTGTCTATACCCCCATTCACCCCTGCAAATGAGACCAGTGACTGACCTCCTCGGGGAATGATGGGGCTGACTTTGCAGGGAAGTACTGACCAACGCTGCTTTTCAGATAACATCCTAAGGACACAAGGTGCTTCGTCAACACTGGAGTTAGTGCCATCCCTGCCGTCCTTCTCCCAGTGAGAGAGCCAGTCTTGTCAAACCCTCCCTCTTCCCAAGTTGTCTTGTACTCGTGCCTTACACATCTGGCTGGAGATTGCTCATGCGGACCTTGTATGTGTGCACTCCTGGGCTGGCTAGGAACCAGCAGGCCGCTGACAGTGCTACTCTAAACCCAATGAAGTCCTCGAGAGTCTTGCCTTTGACTTCACTGAGGGTTGGTCCTAAGAGGACGTAAATGCCGTCATGTTCGGCTGTCAGCCTGTTACTCCTGCCACAGCTCCCACGCGGCCACTTGCAACTGGTCTTCTTCCCGCTCCTAGAGTCCTTTGCGCCGGGTCTGGGTCCCCCCACATGAAGCTCAGCCAGAACTGATGCAATGGTTCGTAGGGTATCTGATGATGACCTGGGCGCAAGAGGTTGAGTACGTCAGCTTCAGCAGGTTGGCCATGGGAAACGGGGTCACAAACCTCCTTGGGGGACATGACCCTCAGGTGGAGAACAAGGGCCAAGTCTTTAACAGGTGTGGATCAGTGTTTCTCACTGGAACTATGCTGATTAACACCAGCTGAGGATCTGGTCCAGCATATATTACGCTGCTCACTCTTCGGACTTGCTCATTGGGAATGAGCAAGTTAGAAGCAGCATCTTTGCCATCTGCAGCCTCATGATTACACTTACTGGTTGATTTTTACCAAGAGAGCTGCTTTGGTATTGAGGTTGAAGGCAGAGGGGGTCAGTTAACCATGAATTTACTTTGCCTGCTTCATGTAGCAGAACAGGGGTGCGTGCTTCAGGCTACACATGTGCCTTGGTATTTACATCTCGTGCTGGCTGGGTTTTAAAAGCATTGCTTCCTACTAAACATGAGTAGTGAGTTTTGCATTTTTTTCTTTGGGAGTGTGGGAGGGGTGGGAGTATTATGCACCAACTATCCCCCATTTGTCCCCCAACTTTGTATTGTTGAGACCACTGAAAACTTTGTACTGTATTGACAGCTATTCAAAATCCTCAGTAATAAAATCTATAAAAGCAAGACGAAGGGGTGCAACGTGAAATCTGTAACTCCACCAACAAAAGGGGGAATGTGATGGTCATGGCTGTAAGTTGTTCAGCAGAAAGTCTGGCCTTAAAGAGTTGATAATAAATAATAATAATCATAATTAATGTGCTTTACTTGTCTTTCATCTGTAGATCTCAAAGCACTTTTCAAGCCGCACAACAGGTAGGTATTATCCCCCTTGTCCAGATGAAGCACAAAGTGGTTAACTGTGACTAGCTGGAGAGATTGTGATGGTGCATCAGTAGCAGAGCTATGAACGCAGGGCCTGATTCAGCAAAGCACTTAAGTGTTTGCTTAAAGTTAAGCACGGGAGAGTAGTGCTCTTGACAGTCAATGGGACTACTCACATGCTTAAAGTTAAGCACATGCTTAAGTGCTTTTCTGAGTTAAGGCCAGAACTCCTGATCATTGGTCCTCCTTGCTATAGCCATCTGGTCACCTACAACTACACACTGTTTCCCAGCGAGCTTGTAAACCCTGGGAGAAAAGCTTGACTCATACAGGTTGTCTCCAGGAATCTGAGATGGGAATATTTCCTCCTTCTATTAACGAGTTGGTTTTTTTTAGTTGTTTTTTTTTTGCCCTTCATATATAACAACACATGGGTCTGGGTTTACCCCCCCCCCCCCCCGCCCTCCCTCCGGCTACTGCACTGTGTTTGCATTTCCTTCCACCAGATGGCAAGATTTCCTCACCCTCAGCAGCAGAAAGCACGCTGTTTCATGCCACGAATGCAGTATCTGCATAACTAACTTCCAAATGAACTAAGAAAAAAAAAGATTGAATTTGAGTCGGCGTCA